AGTATTTTATTTGAGTAGTTAGTCTATTATATTGCTAGTTATTTTTGAATAACTACTCAAAATTACTGAAAATATCCTGAATGTGACTCTTCAATTCTACGCTAGTACGCTGTGATGAAGCAGGGGGTATATGCACAGTAGGACACTCTCTTCTAAGTATTATCTACTCTTGATACTAGTGACAAAGCTTTAACAATGACTCAGAAATAGAATGGTCAATTGGTCAGAGATAGAAGTGAGTATATTTCACTTTAACACTTCCTCTTAACAGTTCCTTTTAAGAGAGCTCTCTGAAAGTTTAATTTAACAGTTCCTTTTTAAGAAACTTCATTTAACAGTTCCTTTTTAAAAAACTTCATTTAACAGTTCCTTTTTAAGAAGCTTCATTTAACAGTTCCTTTTTAAGAAGCTTCATTTAACAGTTCCTTTTTAAGAAGCTTCATTTAACAGTTCCTTTTTAAGAAGCTTCATTTAACAGTTCCTTATAAGAGATTCGAAGAGATTCCCCTAGTTTTAAGACATTATATAGTTTGACTTAATCAGACAGTTTTTATGGCGTCCAGCTGCAATTTGTACAATTCACAGACTGTTGCTTTCATTAGAATTTATCTGCTTTATCATTTGTTTATAGAAGTATCAGCTTTGGTGTTCATTTTGAGGTTTCTTGTGTTCTAGTGTAAACTAGACCCATATCCAACTAAAAGCATAATGACATCACTCAGATGATATTTCCGGTCCCTTTTAGTATTTAAAGTCACACCGAGTTGAGAGCTTATCATCAAGAGTACTCTTGTTACTATAATAACAATCAGTTAGAGTTGGCAAATCAAGACATGTCTTTCATGATGTTTTGCATTCTGTTCTTTTCAGGCATTGTAGTTTGTTCTGTGGCAGCACCAGTGGAGGAGACTGCATTGGAATATAACTATAATGTTAAAAATAAGCGGGTACTGGAATAATAATGACCATTAAATATCATTGTTATCATAATTGTTATTTTTATCAATAGTCAAATGAAGAGTCACCAGTGAGCCATTTGGAAAAGAAACTAAATGAGACACAAGAGGAGGTTACTAAATTTATCGATTTTCATAATTATTACTTTATTATCATTAGATTACCAAATTGGATGAGATGATGATACTGTATTTTGAATATGTATTTAGGACTAGTATGTATGAAATTAATCTCACACTGTATCACCTCTCTTTTTACTTAATAGTTTATCGATTGACAGGTCCAAGGTTTTTTTCTAAATGGAAATCTTCCTCCATACCATATATGGACCACATTGATGAGTTCTCAGCATGGGATGGACAGCAAATGAGGCAGTACATAATAGCAACTAGTAGCCACTGGCAGAGTGTCTCAATATACCAGAATACAGGAGAGGGACTGAGGCATTCTCAAACAGTAATGATTCCTTGGGCAACATCTACAAAAAACATTAAGATTAACGACACAGTATACATCGCTGTAGCCTGCCATGGTTCCCAAGGTACAGAAAAAATAGGAGCACGACTTTACAATTGGACATTTGATGAAGACATTGAAGGGACTCTAACACAAGTACAAACTTTTAATGAGACTAATGAGATCACATTCGGAAAGACAGCAGGCGAATTCTTTATCACTCTTACAAAACTAAATTATTATTTCTCACAAACTGCACCAGTAGCCTCTAAAGTTTATAAATGGTATCCTAAACATCATCAGTTCAATTTTTTTCAATCTCTAGAGACCGTATGTGGAATAAAACCAAATTTTTTTGACATCAAAGGTAATCTCTTTTTAAGCATTACCTGTGGATATAATAGCTCATCAAGCATTGTAAACTCATTCATTTACAGGTTGAATGGATCCCGTTTTGAGATATTCCAGGCAATACCCTTACCAAATTCAATAGAAATACGTGACCTCTACCATGCATATGTTAAACCTAGTCACTTCCTAGTGGCTGCCAGTGTAAATGGACCATTGGTTGTTTACAGATTGAGTGACTTCACAGGACATTTTGAGGTCTTTCAAACTATTTTAACATCACATGTCATGGCACTCGACATTTTTTCCATCAGGGGTGAATACTTTATGGCCATATCTTCATGGGATTATAAGCCATCAATTGCAGCAGATCCTCATGCGAAAGTAGCTGTTTATAAATTCAGTGGATCCACCTATAACTTATTTCAAGTGATCAAAACATTTAATATACCATATTCTGTTAAAGTGTTTGTTGATGTCTTCTCTAATTCCTCGATGATGGGAATACCCCAGGCACTCACTATTGATCTCTACAAGTGGAAGGATCGCTCAAATAAATAACTTCGCTTTTCATTCTTGATGATACTTATTTTATTATGCTGTTTAAATCACTTATTAGCTTATGTAGATTTTATCCTTTCCTTGATTTGTTATTTTGCTTTGTAGTCGTGGTTAATATGTAGATATTACTCTTTCAATAATTTTAAGAAAATATTTTAAACAAAGCCAAAAGCATCTCCAGCATATCTGAAAGTTGTGGGTGCATATAAATGCAGGCTACTCAAGCATAAGGGTGCACTTGTTACCATTTTATTGACAAATAATTATTCAGAGTGGGTGCATCCTGGTCAATTATGGGCATACCAATGAACTTAAATCAGTGCACTCCCCCTAACAACATGAACAAAGCTAAACGTCTCTAGATCTACTACTGCATTGTTTGGATGTCATTATGCACTGCAAATTTGAAATTATTATTTTGAAGAAGAAAGGTACTTGGATGTATAGCAAATTCAAAAATGAGTGTTATGGATGAGTGCTGGTTAATGGCTAGCATGAAGGCAGGCAGGATTGCTGCGCTAGAGAGAGAGAGCTAACGATGCCTCGTGTTGACACCCAAACACTGATTATTAATAACACAGCATGGAACATATATACAAAGATAGTTTATGACTATTTATGAGTTCTGATGTGATGTCATGATGAGTCAGCTCACTACAGATGTATTACAGTAATTACTTATTAGTTTGTACTTGTATGTTCATTAGTAGAGGCATGTTAGTTAGTGTATTTGTGAATGAAGTTGTGCTATTAATTAGATCTAGGCCGTATCTTTGTTAATCTTTGTAACTTGCTCTTAAAGTTAGCCTCACAGTTACCATATGGCTATGCAGCTGATCTAGAGCAAGCCTTATTTTTGTTTATTGTTTGATACAATTGAGCCTTATGCTCTATATGTTAATAGTATTATAAGAAACTAATTATCATTATCATTAGTACATGTGGTAATGGTTTGAATCTGATAATAGTGTCCTCTCCTTAAATTCTTGTTGAATTACTCTTAACGTCATTGGTTATGCCTTTCTAAAGTTTATGAAAGATCTGTTATGCAAGTGATCAACAAATCAGTGAACTGAGAAGGAATATTGTCTCTTCTTGTGGTCATTTTGGACAAGTGTTGCTGTAATGTAGTTAATTTGTGCATGAGTAGTGTATGTTTTGATAATCAAGGAGTGGCTTGTACTCGAGTACGTTCTTTGCATATTTGTACACAACTACAATAACCTCACAGGTGTCTGATATGACTAATGTCTAGTGTACGCCTTGAATTCTTGTGCTTATTTTCAACGTCACTGGTCATGCTCTTCTGAAGTTTATAAAAGAGTACGTTACACAACTGATCAACTAACCAGTAACTGAGAAGGAATGTTGTCTCTTCTTGTGGTGATTGTTTGTCTCCCTCAACTCATCCAATGTCATAATTATGCTACTTGCTCTGCTTCATGTTCCAATGATGCTCACAATGATACACTCCTTCAGGAGCTGCTTAATGTTACAAAGAGCAATGCTCAGGCTATTGATGGCATCATAAGAACTCTCTTTCTTATGAAGAACACCACTACCTCTAATGCTGGAGCTATCAATGATATACTGCTACTCATAGGGGTAGGAACAGGGGGGGCAGGAGGGGCTTAAGCCCCCCCAACTTTCATTGAAGGGGGGCTTAGCCCCTCCAACTTTAAGTGATGTACATGCATTACTATTATCAACACTATAGACTTTAGTTTAGATCATCCTTATATGTGTGCATATTGTGTGATGATTCGTTTTGTAAAACAATTTATACATTAGTTTAACTTCTAAGAACACACTTTTATTAGTTTTTTCAAAAATACACAAGCTTCAACTTCTTTATTTAACAACTTTGTCAACATCAGCTTCAGCTGAGCATACATTTTCGACGTTAAGGACGGAGATTAAAAACTACTTGCACTCAACAATGTCTTAATCAT